GGTAAATAGACTTCAGTGAACAGGGTTTACAAAGGGGTTATATATATAATTTTAAAATGACCTGTTTTTAATTGCAGACTGGGATTTCTAATCAATTTAAAGGTTTTTAAGCATACCTGAGACCAGAAGTTTTGGTCTAGGCTGACTGATAAATCTGCTTCCCACTTTGCAATAAGAAGGGATATTGATTCATCTATTTTAGAAAGTGTTCTGTATATTTTAGACAATAATTTGGGGGATTTAAGAGTAAGAAAATGTACCACACTTGGTGGTGTTTGTAATTCAACTTGACCGAGGTTAAATTTCTTTTTTACTATGGATTTAATTTGTTGATATTCTAAAAATCTTTTCTTGTTGATCCAAAATTGTATAACTAGTCTGTCAAACGGAATAAAGTCTTTTCCTTCTAATATTTAATTCCTTTATAACTCCAATCTGGAAAATTAATCATATTATTGTTTTGTAATATGTCAGGGTTATTCCAGATAGGTGTACATTGGCATGGGATTAATGAAGACTCCATTATTTTTTAGAAACTCCCACCATGCTGTCAGAGAGGAGCTGATGTTGATGCTTTTAAAGGATTCATGTCTTTTGATGTTGGAGCTGATAAATGGTAGGTCTGAAATCTCTAGATTATTGCATAGTGCCTGTTCAACATCTAGTCAGGGCTCATCTAAGAAGGTATGTTTTAACCATCCTGAGATGAACTGAAGCCTGTTGGCTAAGAAGTATTGTTGAACGTTAGGCAGATCTAGTCCTCCTTTATCCTTGGTTCTTTGTAGCGGTTTTAAGCTGATACGCGGGGGTTTATCTTTCCAAAGGAATTTAGAAATATACAAATCAAGAGATCTGAACCAATCTTGTGATGGTTTGTTTGGGATCATTGAAAATAAATAATTTATTTTTGGCAAGATCATCATTTTTATAGTGGCGACCCTTCCCATGAGTGATATGGGTAGAGATTTCCATCTAGTCAGATCGCCTTCTACTTTCTTTAGAAGTGGGATGTGGTTTAATTTAGTTAAGTCTGAAAGCTTAGGAGAGAAATGAATACCTAAATATTTAATATTTCCAGATTGTAGTGGGGCAGAAGAAGAATTATGGAAGGAGCAGTTAATGGGAAGAACTCTAGATTTTGACCAATGAATTGAATAATCTGAAACTCTTGAAAACCTGTTTATTAGTGTAATTACCTCAGAAAGGTTGGTTTGTGAGTTTTGGAGAAAAAGCAATACATCATCCGCATAGAGACTGATTTTATGTTCTACGTTCTTACATTTTATGCCCTTAATTGTTGTAGCCTGTCTAAATGCTGCTGCTAGTGGTTCGATAAAAATTGCAAACAGTGAAGGGGAGAGTGGGCATCCCTGTCTGGTGCCCCTCAGGAGACAGAAGCTGGAGGATGTCTGGTAATTTTTTCTGACACAAGCTGTTGGGGAATTATAAAATATTCTTATCCAGTTTATGAAAGAGTTTCCAAAACCAAATTTGTGTAAAGTTGCAATTAAAAATTTCCAGTTAACTCTGTCAAATGCTTTTTCTGCATCTACAGATAATATTGTGGTTTTAGTGTTTTTACTGCATGAGTAGTGTATTAAATTAAGTAATCTACGTGTATTTGTTGATGAGTGCCTGCCTTTTATGAAACCAGTTTGGTCAGGATGAATTAAAAGGGGGGTTATCTTCTCTAATCTTTTTGAGAGAGCTTTGCAGATTATTTTGAGGTCTACATTTATAAGGGATATTGGACGATAGCTTGAGGGAAATAAAGGGTCTTTGTCTGGTTTTAGCAGGAGACTAATGTTGGCAGAATACATATTTGGTGGTAGTCTGCCATTTTTCTTGATTTCCTGCAACATTCTGTGGAATATACTGGTGCCAAAATTGTCCAGAATTCTTTGTAGAATTCTGCAGGATAGCCATCTGGACCTGGAGCCTTATTATTGGGCATACTTAGCGCTTCCTGGAGTTCACCTGGTGTCAGTGGCGAATCCAGTGCCATTGCTTGACTGTCTAGTAATTTTGGAAGAGTAGACAAAGAGTAGACAGTAGCGAAATAAAAACAACAAAACAACTCTTAGTAATTGCACATTTATTAAAGTGTGTTCTTAAGAATTATCTTCTTGATAACACAAGTTATCCCATGTCTTCTGGCCTGCAAGGCGGTGACTTTCCCCTGCAGGCCCATCTTCTCCAGAATTGTGCTGATCACACACAACAAATAGGAGAAGAGAGGAAACCATGGCAACTATGTTAATCCCTAAATCCAAAAGTTTGCACAGGATAACATAAGACAAATACCGTCTGGACATCACAGGTTCTGTACAGCAGCGGTCCCCAAGTCGTTTGGTATCGGGCCGTGAGAGTTGAGGCTCGGTTGTGAAATTGATAGTTTTCAGGGTTTTTATTGTTAATTCGGTTTCCCTGGGTCTTTTCCCGTGTTGTAGTTGTGTCTCTTATTTCGAAAGAAATATTTACACGTTACCATAGCGACCAGAGAGCGTTAAAGGGCAGAGAGGAAGATGTTACTCTCAATGTTGTTCGTGCATTTTCAGGAGGATGCTGCTAATAAAGTTGCGCAATTACACAGTGAATTCACATTTATTGTTATATTTACAAAATACCACAGTTTTTGTCTTGGTCCTATCATTTTATTTTGTTGTTTTTTTCCACGACACTTTAAAGGCCGCTCCGTGTCTGACATTAAACCGGTCCATGGCACAAAAATGGTTGGGGACCGCTGCTATATAGCATGAGGGTTAATAAAACTGTACTCATATGAATATGATGTGTAAATTGATTTATTCTTGTACCTCCATGCCACAGTGGCTGAATTCTTCACCCCAGTGAAGAGGTGATCATTTTCTCCTTGTTTTAATAAAATGAGCCCTTTGGTCTTTGTTCCCTACAACATATCACAAAAAGGTTAATTTGCGAAAATCAAAATTGGCTGTATGGAAGCGGTAATATAGGATAAACTGTGGGACCCACCTTACAAGCTAGTTTACGATTATTTTAATTAAAAAAAAACAAAACACGTCTATGCAGATGCCCACTGCTTAACAATACAACCACTATAACAATTTAACTTTTGTACCACCAGATGCTTCATTTTAAATCATGCTTTTTATTGGTTTTTGTTTTTTAATGTCTCTGTAAAGCACTTTGAATCACCTTGTTGTTGAATTGTGCTATATAAATAAACTTGCCTTGCCTTGAATTTGGACACAGCCTGTGGCTGTATCTCAATTCAGGGTCTGCAGCCTTAAAGTACGCAGCCTCAATGATCCTCAAGGGCCGCGTACTTAAAGACCGCTAAGGCCGGAAGTGCGAGGCTTGTGAAATGGGATGGTCTAGCCTCCGTTGCGCTGCCCAGGTTGCCTAGCAACCATGATACTACCACCTGGAAACGTTTCATACAGCTTTGTTTGACCGAAATGAAGGAGAAAATCTTTTGTTCATTTGTTTGTTTGTTTCTACATGAGCTTTGATCATTCTCTGTAAGATTAAGGTCAGCTATTGAACGGCGTATATTTTAAAGTAAAGGCTTTAAAACCAAGTTAGTACAAACGTCACTAATGTCACATAACTTTGCCAACATGTGGCCAACAGTAATGTTTTAATGTTCTTCGTTATTAAACATTTGCGCATAAATAAGTGACATAATATTCAGTACTTAAAGTTCACTCTTCGGGCACCCCACATCCGCCGTTTTTCTCGGCAAAATTATCCACACCCACCGCCGCGCTATGCATTCTGGGATATGTTGGGCTATGAAGTCTACACCGCCACGTCCTTAAAATTCAGGGAAATTAAGGACGCATTTGAGGGCCGCATTTCGAGCAGCCTTCGAATTGGGACAGCCTTGCGTCGCGGTGACATAATCAGCCTTAAAATGCAGCCTTTAAGGCTGCAGACCCTGAATTGGGCTACAGCCAACGTCTCTAGCCTTGTCTCCCCTTAGTCTCGTCAAGTGTGATAAGTCCCAGCTGTGCTCTCCTCCTGTGTCTCATTCCCTTGTTATCCCTCAGTGTATTTTAGCCCTGTGTTTCTCTCTGTCAGTGTTGTGTCGTCCCCTCATGCTGTGTGTGTGTTTCCCTCTGTGCTCCTAGTCTCTTGTCTCCAGGTTTCTTAGAGTTTAGTTTTAGTTTCTAGTTTTAGCTTGTTTTTTGCAAGTTTATTGTTTTTGGAGTTTTGTCCTATAACTGCAATAAAGCAGCCTCTTAGAGTTTACTCCTCTGTCTGAGTGTCCTGCATTTTGGGTCTTACATCTTGCCTGCCCCAGCTGTTTCATGACAATTACCCTATGCTTGTAATTATCAGTAATAGCTGCTCTCCGGAACAGATGTGAATCATGTTTGGCTATGCTTATGTTATGTACGGCCCAAAATGGCTTAAGTACCAGAACGTGGTAAGCTCTAATATCGACCAGTAAGGGACCACCACACTCACACTGCAATGGGGTACACAAGATTTATTTTTTCCTTCAGAGTCAAACTACTGGCTGAAGACACAACTCTGGCCGCAACTGTTGCAACTCCGCAACACTTAAATCACAATCTGAGTCCCTGTATCTTTCTAACACAACTGATGAATCACTCAGATGATGAAAACCTATCCTAGCTTCATGTCGATATCTACTCAGATGACTACATGACAAACTATTCTGTATTTTTATTGTTAGTGTTTTCTTTAGGGAAAATACTGTACACCACAAATTTATGTTGAGTTTTTGAGTTTGTATCTATCATAGTTGGAGAGTTCACTTACATGTATCTATAAAGTGAAGTTTTAACTTTAATTAATATTTTACTTTTACTATTTCAACCAAAGAGTTTCAAGGTTATTTATCTACACTGTTTGCTCAGTTGTCCTTAGCAAAATTCACAGTAACTTTCCCTCCCTTCTTCTTGTGAAACATCACTCATCATGATGAGGCAAGACAGGATATATAAAGACTCATGGTCGACAATCATTGCACAGGACCTAATCATATGTTTAGGTCCTGTGCAAGTAGCTCATATAAAAACTATAAGACATAGGAATGGGAATACTAACAATGAGGATAACTTCTACAGCTTTTGTACTTCTCATCCAAACATTTGTCTGTTTGGCTTCAAATGGTACCGTAATCCAACTATTAATTTTATTTTTTTTCCTAAGCCTTTTACAGAGTATCGTGCATAATTAATGTCCTGCCTATCTGTACTATATGTAAGATTGTTATGTCCTCTATTTCTCTATAATCCTGTATAACCTATTCTTCATTTTTTACATCTCCAACAGTACTGTTTTTCAATATTTTTTTCTCTACAGATTCCCAATTTCAACTAATTAACAGGGCCACTGGTTTTTGTTTGGTAAAATTAAATAACCACTGCAATGACATTCGCTGGACATCTGGGGATCGACTTTTGGTTCAGAATAAGAACAAGTGCCTGGGTGTTCAGGGAAAAACTGTGGGCAGTGAAGTAAACCTGTATGATTGTGATGAAACCAGTGAGCTCCAAAAGTGGGAATGCAAGAATGAAACTGTGATCGCTCTCAAAGGCCAAGAACTTTACATTGACCTCACTGCCGATAACACAGCCGTGCTCTCAAATAAAGTTGTGCCCAATAGCCACCTTACAATTTCTGGGACTTCCAGCGGTGCTTGCACAAGAACATATACAGGTAAGTGAAATAAATAAAAATACATTGTAAAGTAATTCATGATAACTTTTATGGAAATAATATTAGTGGCATAATAAATTTATTGATTTTCATATTTAGTTCCAAAACAGTTGTAATGCAAAGATAGTGTGTCAAATGATTACAAGATGTTGATAAATTATAAGTATCATTTTTCTTAAACTATTCAAGCTATTCTTTGTTCTTTTCTTATATGTTTTCCTTATTTTGGTCCTTCAGAACTTTACACCATTGAAGGAAATGCAGCTGGGAGGCCGTGCATGTTTCCTTTCTTTTACAAAAGCAATTGGTATTCGGAGTGCACTGCATTTGACTCTCCAGGGAACCGTAAATGGTGTGCAGTTGAAACAAAATATGATCATGAACTCTGGGGTTACTGCCCAACTAACTGTAAGTACACAACAAATTCTAATACAGGTTTTCAGAGTAATAAGCAGAACCTGGACATCCAAATTTAAATGTTGAGGAACGCCATCTTGAGGTACAAGTTCAGTGTAACACTATAATACCTTAACTGTGTTTGTGTCACAGCCAAAGAAACTTGGAACAAAGACCCTACAACAGGAGCATCTTATCAGCTGAACACACAGTCAGCGCTGACCTGGGATCAGGCTGATGCCAGCTGCAAACAGCAGAGTGCCTCCCTGCTCAGTATCAGCAATCCTCATGAGCAGGCTTATATTTCAGGTAAGGAGAAAAGTCTCCACAGTACACTGAATATATTGAAAACAAAACAATTCATTTAAGCTGAGAGAGTTTTACAAATAGCTAAAACTTGAAACATTAAAGTTGTTGTGGTCTGTAGACTGTAGACACTGCTCCAGCTGATGATTATGTTTTGAGTATTACACTTGTAAACTTTTGTTTTCTCTGTCTCTTTTGTCTGTTAAACTCTACTGACAGCACTATTAGGGACAAATTGGGGACAGGAGTACAAACTCTGGGTTGGACTGATCTTCCAGGATTTAGATTATGTGTGGAAGTGGTCTAATGGGAATCCTTATGCATATCTGAATTGGGACTCAGGTAAGTTTTCTTTCAAGTTTCAGGAGCTTGTGTTACCATTCTGATGATAATTTACATTACTGTTGTTAAAATATTTCAGCAAGTCATCTTGATCATGTTTGTCATCTTTTTTTATTGATATAAGAAATGTTATCTGTCAGCAAGTCAATATTTTTTTCCCTATTTTTTTATAAAATGTCTTCCACGCAGGCGTGCCAGTCACACTGCAGATATAGCAATAATCAGAGAACCTCTTATTGTTCAGCAATTTCAACAACCGTTAAATTATTGTGGTGGCGTTGTGTGTCACATAACCTTATCACTCTTGGGTAGAAATCATAGGCTTCTATTTCATTTCCACGAAAACTAAAATGCTCATACACAATACACACCATGCTTCTAAATATCTTGAGAATCCTGTGAATGGAAAGTTGCCGAGTCTCATCTCATAAGTGACAAGTATCATTTACCATCACTGCTCTGTAGGACATCCAGTTTCTAATCCAGGATATAAGTGTGGAATTATTGATGGCGCTGTTCAGTTTTCTTGGCAAAGTTCAAAATGCAACAAGAAACTGGGATACATCTGCTACAGTGAAGGACCTTTGGATGCACCTACTGAAGGTATAGAAAAAAATCCCTTCTCTACCCTTCTCTTAAAAAACTTGATTGACTCTATTTCTTTGATCTTCTTCTGTTCTTCTTATGCTTCATAGCTCCCGAGAGTGGATTTTGTACAGCACCCTGGATCCCCTACAATGGCCACTGCTTTTACCTTTATCGTAATGAAACAAAAAAATGGTCTGATGCTCAGAAAGCTTGCGGTAAAGAAGGAGGAGACCTAGTAAGCATTCGTAATGTGGAGGACCAAAGCTTCATCATCTCTCAACTTGGATATGGTATGGCAATAAAAACTTCTGAGCACCATTTGCATTGCTTCAACATAATCTTCACACAAGACTTCATATCCATCTTGTTAGTAATTTCCCCACACGTCTGCCCTTTTAAAATGAAATATTTTTGAGGCACGATCTAATATGATTATGTTGGTATGTTTCTGGATCAACCAAAGTAATGTTTGTCCAGGTTTAACGTTGCTTGTTATCAATCACATTGCAGTGATGTCATAGTGTTGCGATGTGGAAACACCATCACATCGCACACCAAACTCTAATCCTAACCCCATTACCCAAACCACGATCACATACTGATGCCCAACTCTAATCCTAACCACTCCCTTTTCTTTTCCAAGTTGAAAAGCTATGACATCATAACAATGTGATTGGTCAGTTGCAATTTCAGTCCTGGACCAATATTATTATGTTGATCCAGAAACAACACCAACATAAGTTATTGCTAAAGTTCCAGGAAGTTTTCAGCTTGTGTTTAAGTCATAAGAAGTTGCCTCTCCTTAATTTTCCAAATGTCTAAGTTGGGTTGAACATCACACTCAAAAGTTAAAGACACACCAAACCCAGATATTAATGAACATCTTATAGCTACACACTTCATAAGAATGTGAGCAATCTTTTCCTAGGAAAGGGGTCTACTGCTGTAGTTTCAATGTACAACTCTTAAGAAAATGCAGTTCTCTGACAACAGGTAATAGTCATTTCTCAGCCAACAGGTAGACTTCCTCTTTATAATAATGACCATTTGTCAGTTGTTAGTTTTTGGAATCGACTAATAATTTGGCAGGTCTTTATGTCTATCTCTTCATAAGCATTTAATCACTTCCTGTTGTTTTCTGATCCCTGTATCACTGCACATCTCAAATATGATAAAGTTTCCAGCAATTCTGGCAGACAACAATTAGCAACAGTCTAAAATTTAGATGTAAAAGTAACAACTAAAAAGTAGCAAATGAGCAGAATGTATCAAGAAAATTATACAACAATTAATGTTATTTTCTGTCTGCAGCATCCACTGATGAACTCTGGATTGGACTAAATGACAGGAAGAGAGAGAGGCTGTTTGTCTGGAGTGATCATTCTCCTGTGAGTTACACTAGCTGGGACTCTCGGGAACCAACTGTCACCTCTGAACAAGAAGACTGTGTTCTTATCAGAGGGGAGGTAAGGTGCACAGTGTGGGAGTGATTATTGATGATTATGACACACCAGTGTTTTTCTGTAAAACTATGCAGTTCTGTTAAAGAACACTCTCTCTAAACCTATGCAGCTATGTATCACACCTTACTTCACAACATACAGTATACACATATTGGCCAAAATAAATTTCAAAACCTTTGCCACATGTTTAGTCTGGGACCTGTCTTTAAATCTCTTCTATGCACATATGTATATAAGCACATATTTCCACTATATTCTAACAGTGTGAGAAATGTATTGTTTCAACATCATAAACATAAAAAAGGAAACGTTATGCAGGAACTTCTTGTAGGATTGTTATGAAGGCAATTTAAATCAGTTTCACAGCAAAAAGATGATTTTGCACTCTCTGGAAGCTGCCCTGCTACTGCTCAGCCTGCTAGTAGATGAACCTATGGTATGAATTTGAAAGTCCTATGTTACTTCCTCTTTGAGTTATCGCATTCACATGATTTTTGAAACAAACAAAAGAAATACAATAAAAAATAAAAATAAAAACCCAGTCATATCAAAGAGTATGAGGCTTTTGTTTTATGATATGCACCGTAGCCTGTCTATCTCTTGTTAATTTCAGTTTCCA